CCCCGCCCGTCCGCGCGGGTCCCGGGACGGGGCGGACCGGGTGGCTCTGCTGCAGCCGCGGGGCGAGCTGGGACTGCCGCCCAGGACGCGGGCCGCCCGCCCGGCCCGTTCCCCCGTCGGACCCTCGGTCTCCGCCGCTCTCACCCCGTCTTCGACCCCCAACGGTCGCCACTACCGCCCGCAGCTCACCTCCCCGGCCGCTGCCGCTGCTGCCGCCGCCGCCGCTACCGCCGCCGCGCGCGATCTCGCGAGACTTCGCTCCCCTCGGGCTTCCCGGCGCTTCCCCGCCCTCCCGCGGCCGGCGCGCACGGACCGGAGCCTGGAATAGACGCGGCGCGCTCCCTATAAGCTGCCCCCAGCTTCGGGGTCTGGCCTAGCGGTGCTTGGCGCCCTGCGTCCCAGTCGTTACATCCATTCCGCCCACCGCCGTGCAGGTGAAGGGTTAAAAGCCAGGTGCGAGACCGGCGGCCGCCACCCTCTCACCTGGCCGGCCGGTGCGCGTGCGCATGCGCGCGCCTGGAGCCCTGGACCTGGGAGCCTTTGCAAAGGCTCTGGCCTCAGTGACAGTAATCCCAGCAGCTGGTCTCCAGGGCATATGTGTGCCCAGTGCTTTTAAAACTCCCTTCGGGTCCTCGCAGCAGCCCCCAAGAAATGGGTATTACCATACTCCCCATTCCAGAGAGGGAGAAATGGAGGCCTGGCAAGGTTAGGTCACTAGCTCCAAGGCACAAGGTAGGAATTGGCATCTGGGGTTGTCTGACTCCCAAGCCACAGCTCCATTTCCCCCTCCATGACAAGCCCCCACAGGCCCTGCCCCTGCCCCCCTTCTGCTGAGAACACTAGTCTCAGCACCAGTCTTTACTTCCCTCCCAAGGTTCGCCCAGGTGAGAGCCCTAGGCGATTAGTTGCTACAGTCCCTCTGGTTTTTTGGAGCTGCTGTCAGGAAAACATTTCTCCCAAATTACACAACCTTCCCAAAGGCCTCCCTGTTCCAGGCCCTGTACCGCGCCCTGAACACGATCTGAATATATTTTGTTCTATCGCCTCTCCAGACCTGTGGCATTTTGATGATGGTAGAGAGCATAGTAGTTCTATGGGACACAGGACATAGAACCAGAATGTATGTGATATTAGGGGGCATAGAGAACCATATGACTACTTCTTAAGGGTAAAATCGTAACATTATAAACAGTAGTTTCCCCATATCCAGGGTTTCGCTCTCTGCCGTTTCAGTCACCTGTGGTCAACCACAGTCCAAAAATATTAAATGGAAAATTCCAGAAATAGTTCATAAGTTTTAAAGTGCAGGCCATTCTGACTCCTGTGATGAAATCTCGAGCCTTCCGTTCCGTCCAGACCGGGACATGAATCATCCCTCGGTCCAGCTATCCTTGCTTTATGTGCTCCCCTTCTGTTAGTCACTCAGTAGCTGCCTCTCTTATCTCATCAAATGCCTTAGGATCATAGTGCTTGTGTTCAAGTAACCCTTTTTTCATTGTATGTATGTATGTATAGGAAAAAACATAGTATAGATGAGAGTTCAGTACTATCCCAGGTGTAAGGCATCCACTGGGGGTCTTGGAACATATTCCCCACAAATACTATTATTGTCATTGTTTCTAAAGAAGAGGAACTAGCATTTATTGAGGGCATTTCAAGGTCACTACCAATAGTCTTCCAAGTTAGTCATAGGAAAATGGAGACTCAGGGAGATGAAGAAACTGGCCTATGTTTCTGTAATGAGACAGGATTTGCACTTGGGTCTGAATTCAGAGCTAACTACTGCCTTGCACTAAAGTCCCAGGAGCTAGCATGAGCTAGTTGGGCTGGGCCAACACGCTGTTGTAAAATCAAGAGCCTTGGAGGTTCTAGCTATCCCTTCACCATCAGGGCCTTACTCAGCCCACCTGACAGTCACATCAGTGTCAGCAAAAGTTGGCTTGCCCACCCTGCAAGCCTGTCCACTCCCTCCAGAAACAATGCCACTCTCAAAGGTCATAGGCGTCCCTCCATGGGCCAGCATCACTCAAGCCACCCGAGGAAGTGAGAGAGGAAGGGAAATCACATTTGATGAGCAGCAGCAAGGTGTCAAATACTACTCCAGGTGCTATACAGTCATTAACTCATTTAGTCTTCCCAACAGCCCCATGTGGATGGTATAATTGCACCCATTTTAAAGTTAAGAAAATCAAGGAACTAAGAGGGGAGAGAACTTACCAAGGGAACACAGTTGGTAAGTGGGAGGGCTGGGATTACACTTCAAGTCAGGCTATACCCCAAACCACGTACTTTGACCTCAGTGACCAACAAGGTTGTTCCCTGCTCCCAAAAACTTTCGTCTTCATGAAGCTGAAAACCTAAAAATCCCAAGTTCAGGACTCCAGTCTGAGATACTGTATATTTTCCTCCAGGTAGAACAGGCCTCAATATTCTCATCTGAAATAAGGACATAAGCCCAGCCGGTGTTGCTCAGTGGTTGAGTGTCCACACATGAACCAAGAGGTCACTGGATCAATTCCGGGTCTGGGCACATGCCCAGATTGTAGGCTTAATCCCCAGCAGGGGATGTGCAGGAGGCAGCTGATAGATGTTTCTCTCTCATCGATGTTTGTATCCCTCTTCTTTCCTCTCTCTCTCTAAAAAATCAATTAAAAATAAATAAGGAAGGGGTTTCTAAATTCAAAATAATTTATCCTCTTTCTGACTACTCCACGTTTCATATGATATAGAGAGTTCTGTTTTTTTAAAAAAGGATATACATGGGTTGTTGGGAGGATTAACCAAGTTAATATTTGTGAAGCATGTACAAAAGTGCCTTGTACAGGTTAAGCTCTCAATAAATTATAGCTATTATTACCCTGGGGATTTCTGTGATATTTCATTCGTTCCTCATCTCTCAACATAAACTCCAAATCAGTTTGGAGGGATGTGGCCTTATCTGCTCAGGCATAGGGATAAAATTAGTTTCTAGCACTCTGGAAATAATAAATGCTCTTTAATGGACAAAATTACCCCTGTTCTTTCCTCCTGATCATGAAAAGAGACTAAACTCTTCTCCAGCTCTTCCCAGTTTCCTGTAAGACTAGCAGCTGGTTTTTAAAAAGGCTCCCCTTGTATAGAAAAAGTCACCCAAATATTTTTAAGTTGTTGGCAAAAAAAAATTAAGCTGAAACTTTTAAGAGAATTTTGATGAGGCTGGGAGTTAATATAACTATAGTGATATCATGATTGGGGGGAAGGTTTTTACAGGAACTGAAGCTGCCATCACCCTCAGCCATGGTACCCCAAAGTGAGGTTTCTACCCTGACACAAGGCACACCACACGTTCCCATCAATGGCAATGTGTCGCTGTGGAAGTGATTCTCACCATGCAAGGGGTGGATGTAACAGGATCCATTGAAGACATTATAGTTTGAGAAAAACACGCACACAAAAAAACAACTGAGGTGATTCTAATATGCACACCTGTAAAGGCTTAATGTACAGTTCCCAAAAAGCGCTATTTAAATATCTGTTGATCCAAGAGGAATTTTATACATGCCTAAAATGGATTCATTTAAAGCTTACTCATTCATTAAAGACATATTAAGCACGTAAGTGCCAGTTATTGCTTGAGTAGCTATGAGTAAGACAGATCATGGTCCATGTTCTCATCACATTTATGGCCTAGAAGGAGAGAGAGGTGTTAATTAAATAATTGAACCTATAAATGTTGAAATGTTATGTGATAAATAAATAGGATGAAAAGGAACAGCAAATGACTCCCTGACCCCCCCACCCCCACCCCCAAAAAAAAGTCTGGGTGGAAAAGTAGGAAAGAACTTGTTTGAACTAAGTTCTGAAGGATGCATTAGAGTGCACTAGGAGGAGAGGGGAGAACATTCCAGAGATAGGGATGGCATGGATCAGCAAGGAGAAGTTAAGTGTTGGCAGCTGGGAAGACAAGAGGGTGGTAGGGCCTCTATAGGCATCTCAGAGATGTATGTCCCCTGAGCATATGGGGAGAGAGGAGAGAACCCAACTGGAGGCAGAAGAGGGATGTGTTGAATGCCATTGGTCCCCGCATACCCATTCTGCCCTGTTGGCCAATCCAAGCTCATGGAATCCTGATACCTCTGTCCCACTGGTGCTTGGTCAAGGATGACACAGCTGTCATGTCTCTAGCCAATGTTTGATTTGAGGAAATCAGACATTATAAGGTCCCAGCACCCTGGAGCAGAAATTCGGCTGCCAATCTCCTGCCTACCTCGCAACTAGGACTGGGAGATGATGTAGGCTCTGCCAGCCACAGGTGCCACGTGAGGCTGCGCCTGGGTTCTGTTGATGTGACCGGTGGCGAAAGCAGCCAGCTCTGGGGATGGTGGTGGAGAGTGGAGCTCCCGATGGAGAGCTGCACCGGTGCTGACGGCAGTGGTGGCTGCAGTGAGAGCAGACATGGGAGGGTGGCAGCTAGCTCATGGGGCCAGGCCTGCAGTGTGGTTTGGGGCATTTTTCCTAGAAGCTTAGCCTCAAGTTCCTTCCTCCAGCCCACCAATGATTCTGTGGGATATCCAGCTTCCTTTATTACATTCTCCTTTCTGCCCAAACCAGCTAGCATTTCCACCGAGAACGCTGATCCTTCACAGGCAAAGCCCATTGGAGCCAATGAGACTTGGCGAGAGTCTTGCTAAGATTAGTGGCCAGGGGAACTTTCTCTGCTGTGAGAGAGACCTGAGGAAGCCAGCTCATTCTCCCTGCCTGACGCGGACCTCAGTTGCCACCAATGGCTCTTCCCACAACTGTGGGATAAGATAGGGCCTGGGCGGCACAGAGCAGAGCAGAGAAACCAAGGACCCTGAGTTCTTAACATCAACAGCTGCTGGACTGACCCTACACGTACGAGGCCTGGATGTCCCCTTCCCTGAGCTGATGCATGTGGTTAAACCAACTTGAGTTGGCCTCTCTGTTTCTTGCAGCCCAAACATTCACACTGGTGCAGGGAGGAAGGGGGCAACTTATGGGGAACAGGCATGTATCTTCCCTGGCTGTGTCAGGAGCCACCCAAAATCCTGGGCAACCTTCCACATCTACCCTCTGCCCCGCACGCCCCCCCCCTCCCCCGCCACACACACACACACACACACACACATTCCACATACTCCCACCAATATCAATACCATTCAGGTAATCCCTGCCTGGCTTTAAACACTTCATTCATGAAAACACATTCTTTCTGAGCCCCTCCCCTCTTTTGACCATTTCTTTGATGAGCACTGTGTGGTTCCGTTACTTGCTCA